TTTATATCATCATTTTGCACTTGAAGTATCAATAACTCCTTTACTAAAACATGTTTTATAACCATAAGATACCTTTTAATTTATGGTAAATGGTCATTCTAAATGTAGGCCTATCACATAAATAAAAGGATTGATTGATGAGTTGAAGTATTGAAATTAAAAGGACAAAGAAAGGGCAAACTTAGAAAAGAGATGTTGGTGCAGTCCAGATTGGAATATTATTTAGTAATTGGGTTATATCTAGAGCTATAGATCTCAGATTTAGGTCTGCTTTATATGGATGGAAAGGATGGAAAGCTAAAACACAGGCCTAAAACTTTCATGGAAAGGTGAGACTTAATTCTAACATAGAAGTCTGAATCTATCCTACAGATCTCGAGTTCTAGAAGTTCAAATGACCTTAATTTTCTTTTCCTAGAAAGTTGAGACAATTTCTTAGAACTTTCATGTGAAGGTCTGATTCAAATTCTGATATTATCAATGATATTTTATACAAACAAGAAGATAAGGATTGTCGTCCAGTCAAGACGTGGCCACCCACTCATTAATTAGTCATCAAATTAATAGTTTTAAATTTTGGCCTATAAAAGGAGGCATTTACCATACATGTAGACATCTTGGTTTTCACCGTGTGTGGTTTCCAATTGAGTAATAAAAGGAGTTTATATTATACTTGTTTGAAATACTATTAGTGAATCCTCTAACCTTAACATTTGTTTTTATCATAGTTTGATCCTCACATTGATTTTCCATCTTAAAGTTCTCATCAACTTCTTCTTCTTCTTCTTCTTATTTATTATTGTTGTTGTTGTTGTATTATTATTATTACTTATAATTTATACAATTAACCTCCCAATGGTTTGACCCCGGTCTTGCCAGGTTTTTTATTTCTTTGAAACTCCTACACTTAGAAGAAAACATTAATCTTTTAGTCATATCAGAATCTAGATATGATCAAAGGACTGAATGGTGTTCTTGTTTGATCCAACATCTCTTCTCTAACCTTAGCCTTTTCTTTGTCTTTTCACTTTCAATAGTCAATCATATCAATCGATCTTTTAAACGGTTAGATATGCCTGTATTTAAAATGAGCATTTACCATAAATTAAAGCTATTTATATTATCAAACTTGTTATTATAAAAACATGGATAAGTTAGGGAATTTAATGATACTAAAAGTACAATATGATGATATTAAGCCTTAATAACAATGCACTTTTAAATACCAATCACTATATCCATTGTGACTTAGGCTTGACTCGTGGTTGAACCCAAATGTGTTGGGTTTGGCATCTTACTAGACCCACGATGACTTCGGCTCCGTATATGGCTAAGCCTAAGTGTATTGGGTTTGGTATATTACAAGACTACAAAGACTTTGGCTCAACTAATGGCTGCACCAAAATGTATTGGATCTGGTGTTTTGTCATACCCATGATGACTTGGGCTTAACTCTAAGTTGGATCCAAGTGTGTTGGGTCTGGTATTTTGTTGGACCAAAGGTGACATGGGTTCAACTCATAGCTCCACTCAAGTATATTGGGTTTGACATTTTGTTAGACTCATAATGACTTGGGTTCAACTCATAGTTAGACCTAAGTGTATTAGATTTAACAAGATGTTAAGTCCACGAAAACATGGATTCAACTTATAATTGGATCTAAATATATTGGGTTTGATATCTAGCTAAAACACATGTTCAATTAGGTTAACACCCTATTATGGGTTTGAGTTCTTTCAAAGCACGAAAATATTAAGTTGAAAAAACTCGCCAACCTACATTCTAAATCAAGTTCTTTAACTTGGAAAACTACTTTTCAAAATAGCAATGCAGACTAAAGATAGGATAAAAATACCACAACTTAAATTTTTATTGTCTGCCAGAATACTTAATCAAATGTATATTGTGGATATGGTTCCTTAATTCTTAAAGTTTACACTCTAAATTATAAAGAAATAAACTAGGGTTCTTATTCTTAAAGTTTCAACTCTTAACTATAAAGAAAAGTTTCAAAACTTTATAGTTTTTGAAAAATCTTTACTTCATAAATTATTTTATGAAAAATAACTTACAATGCTATTTCATTACAAAAAAAGTTATGATTAGCAAAATTCAAATTAAATTGAAAGTTCTAATAAAAGAAAAAGAAAAAACAATTTTGAAATAATATTTGGGTATGAAAACTAAAGCAACAAGTTTGCTAATTGCCTCTTTATAATTAGATATTTAGAATTATTCAACAAATTTCATTCCGATCAAATTGTTGGATAAAAATTTATAACTATTTTTATCATATTGAATATTGAATTTCTTTGTAACTCTGCAAAACCTAAAACATTTTAATAAATTTGAAAGTAAAACAACACAAATAATTATACTAAAAATAATGAATAAGTATCAAAGAATATTATAAATTATATTTTAAACCTCACCTAACATTTTAAGTAATTGGGTTCAGATGGTTCTTTATCATGGTTTTAGAACTTTGATAATCAAGTAGTCACGAGTTTAAATTTCATCATTTTTATTTATTTGATAAAAAATAAAGCATAAGGTAGTGTAAGTTTATACAAGTTTTAAGTCAAAAAAACTTTTATTTTAAAAGATATATTAAAAAATAATATAAATTATATTTTAAATTTTACATAACAATTTAAGTTATTAAATTAAAATAATTATTTAAGAGTAAAAACTTACCTCAAAACTATACTAACTTAAATTATTGAATTAGAATAGTTATCTGACAGCAAAAACTTACCTCCTAACTATTCTAGAGTTCAAGAACTCTGAGACTAAGACAAAGGTCGTTCATATAATTGGAGATACAGGAGTTCAACAAGCAGCAAGATTCTCATTAGGAGGACTTTCCTTTTCAAGAATCAAAATGCTACACAAACACAAACATGTGGCTTTGGTGAATCTTTGAAGAAGAAGTGTGAAATAATGTGTACAAAATACTGAAAAAAAGAAAACCGAGAATATGCTACAAGAACTTGGAAAAACAAATACTAATAAATCATTTGGACGAAGGATTGAAAGATTCTACTAGGCCATTATTTCAAATCAAAATTTAGCATTACACCATCATTTTATTTTAATGCAACAATGTCAATTGTAACTGATTAAATTACGGCTTCGGGATAATCGTATGTTTTCCCTATAATTATTTATATATATTCTAAAGATTTATTGGTGCATAATTTTTTAATAGATTTTATCTTTTTATTATTTTATCAAGGTATTTTTCATTCCATCTAATTTCATTTTCTTGTAAATCACATGTCAGGATTTTATGGATCGATGATTAAAAAAGAATCACGCATGAAAAAATTAAATAATGACATGTAAAGAAAATCATTGATTACCAAAAAAAAAACTCAGAAAAATATAGGAAAAGTGGTTGGACTATTTTAAAATATATATTATATATTTATTTAATATCAAATTTAATCAAATTAAAATTATTTGAAAAATATTACATTTTCTCTCCAATTGAAAAAGAAAAGATTTTTTTAAAATAATCTTTAAGGTAATTTATGTTTTTGTAACTAATTTTAAGGTAATTTTAGAAAAAATAAATTAATTATATAGAAAGCATTCAATTGTTTCCCCCATCTACTAGGAATTAAGATCCAGCTCATCAGCATGGAATCTACTACTAGGAATTAAGATCCAGCTCATCAGCCTGGAATCTATTTTTTTTTTTTTTATAAAAAAAAAAGCATGGTGCTCATCGGGTCCCTTTACGATGACAACCGACAAATCCCCCCTCCAGCTAAATGCATCTTGTTTATAGATGTGACTGTTATTATATATGTAAGTGTCGTTTTTTAGAAATTGAATAAAGTGACGGCATTGGTGTTTATGATGAGTCAACTGTCTTTCTTTCATCAACCTTTTTCAAGATTCCGATATCCTCCCTCCGGTGGCGATTGCCACACCACGTTTCCACCGCCCCTCCGGCGGTCTTGGTTCTGAATTATACTCCTACAACCACTGCTACTGAAAACTAGTTAAAGTCAACGAAGTTAGAGAATGGAAAACAACAAGTACTTGAAGTTGCTTCTGCAACAAAAGAAACAGAAATGGTTGTTACTGTTAATATTATCTTCAACCATCTTGCTTCTTACTACCATAGCATCACTCTCATCTTCCCCTCAATTGCTATACAAATTACATGGCAACAAATACCATTTCCAGCAGGTTCCACGCTTTGTGGAACCTAAATTGGAAAACTCACCTTCTTCTCCCGTACATACAATACCCCGCCTTGCATACTTAATTTCAGGTTCTGCCGGAGATGGAGTGAGCCTGAAACGGGCTTTAAAAGCACTCTACCATCCGAGGAATCAGTATGCTGTGCATTTGGACTTGGAGGCCACCGCGGAGGAGAGGTTGGAGCTGGCGAGATGGGTGAGTGAGGAGAAGGTTTTCGAGGAGGTGGGAAATGTGAGGTTGGTTGTGAGATCCAATTTGGTAACTTATAGAGGTCCTACCATGGTTAGCAATACGCTTCATGCTGCCGCAATTTTGCTCAAGGATATTGATGATGGGGAATCTTGGGATTGGTTTATCAATCTGAGCGCTTCTGATTATCCTTTGATGACTCAAGATGGTAATAAATGCATAATTTATATTATACAATACTTCGTTAATTAATTAATTACTACTTGATTATAAGTAAAGTAGGTTTGGTATTCTTTGGAGTCGGTGTTATATATATATATATATATATATATATATATCTTCGTTCATTTTCTTAGGAGAATGGGAAGAACGGAGTACCTAGAAATCCATTTGCTTTAATGGGCATCTCCTATTTTTTGCGGTCAACAGCTATATATAATTTTGGACTTGCTTCCCAAACCACTCAATTGGGTACCAATTCTGCTTGCTAGCTTAGCCATAAACATAACTTCTGCTGTCTTCTTGGCTTGATTATGATGGTCACAATTCCATGTTAACAGGATCAGTAAGTATTAAATTTGCGTTAGTACATGCATTTTTAGCAACTGTTCGCACTATTTGCTCTCGTTGCTGATTACATCGATATTTTAGGGTTATTTTTTTGTTCATATTGGTGAGTTCAAATCATCAGCTAGCGTAGCTATAATAAACAAATTATAGTTTAACTTCATAACTTTAAAATCTGGCGTTGGCAAGGCTTATTCTATTTTACCATGCATTCATTGACATGCAAACAGCTGATTTCATTAAGTTTTTAGGTATAAAATTTTGGGAAGTTTTAATTGTACTCTGTGCAAGCCCAGATTGATTTCTGATGGCATTAACTGGTGGTTTCTGTTTTCTTCCTCACAGATATTCTTTATACACTGTTTGATATTCCAAGATACCTTAACTTCATCGAGCATACCAGTGACATTGGATGGAAGAAGTATGTGGTTTATCTGCTCTCTATACATTTCTCTCTGTTTTCTTTTTGGTATGTTTGCGGCGTGAGATTGGATAAGGATGGAAGAGAGGGGAGGGATAAGGGAGGAGGAATTGGGTGTCCACTTTGTTTGTCAACAAGGATGGAGGCCTAAGGAAGGATCAAAGGATCCTTTCAATCTTTCCCTACTTGTACTTCTAATATGGCGAATTGGCTCCTATAATTTTCCTTTTTTGTAACTCTTAATGCTCTCAACTTCGATGGATTGACTTTCATCCTTCTCTTTTATGTACCGAACAACGAGATGGATGATTCCATCCTCTCTCCTTCCTATCCTTCCACTTTATCCAAACATAGCCTAAGGGAGGGTGAGGAGGGGAGTATTCATCTTCAATTTTGTATTTGAGTTTTTGCTAAAAATTGGATTTTTCTGAACCCTGCAGAGATCAAAGAGCCAAGCCTGTCATAATAGACCCAGGGCTATATAGCCAGCAAAAATCAGAGGTTTTTTGGATCTCAGAGAAAAGGAGGTTGCCAACAGCATATAATTTGTTTACTGGTAAGATATACAAGAACTAACAACTTATCTTTCAACTCTCTTTTGTACTAGAAACCAAAGCAGTCTCTCACAATCTTAACAGAAAAAGATAAACATATAAACAGCACAATGTTATTAAGAGTACAGCCTATGTATTTCTCCACCGCTGAGTACTTGGAAACCAGGTCTTTCCTAGATTTTTTCCGATGTATTTGATTAAGAATCTACGAAATGAACTCGTTGGTTCCAGTCTTCCAGAGAAGTCTCCTGTTTTGCATCCTGCATCAATGCCCCTTTCCAGCTCAAATGTCTCCTGAATATGTAAAACTGATTATAAAATTCAAGTCTGTGGTCTCAACTACATCAACTCAAGAAATCAGAGCTATTTCGTGTAGATGTTGTCTGGTGTACACTAAATCACGACAATGACTTTCGTGATATTTTAATTTATCAGGTAAACTAGCATTCTCCGCATTTACAAATAGCTCGCATTGCAAATTTATGGTAGGCATTAGAAGAGATGATAAACTCCTTACCTCTCTTTGAGTTTTAAATTCTTGGGATCCAGAGCATCGTATTCACTTTCACCCACTCCTGTTAGTATGGAAATTATTTGGATGAGCTTCTGAGTATGTAGAGATTGAAATGTCATTAAATTGTCAGTTTAAGCTAATAAAGTGTCCAGCGTTTTCAAGACTGAACTTGAATTGTACAGGAATAGAGCCATAGAGGAGATGGTACAAGCAATTTAGTTGCAAAAAACTCATCTATCTATGTGTGTATTTATAGAGAGAGAATTTAAAATTTAGTTGTGGTACTGATTTGCTCAGGTTCTGCTTGGATGATGCTCTCTCGACCTTTTGTGGAGTACTGCCTGTGGGGCTGGGACAACCTCCCAAGGATAGCCCTCATGTACTATGCAAACTTTCTCTCTTCACCTGAGGGTTATTTCCACACTGTAATTTGCAATGCTGATGAGTTCCGAAACACTACAGTTAACCATGACCTTCATTTCATATCTTGGGACAACCCTCCTAAGCAACACCCTCATTTTCTCACAGTAGATGATTATGAGAGCATGGTTGAGAGCAATGTTCCCTTTGCAAGGAAATTCGGCAAGGACGACCCAGTTCTTGACAAGATTGATTCTAACCTTCTGGGACGCAGAGCCGATGGGTTTGTGCCTGGTGGATGGTTAACTGATGAAGGAAACGCAAGAACAGTTCTCCCTCGTATTAATTTAAAGAACACCACTGAGCTTAAGCCTGGCCCTGGTAGTCAGAGGCTCAAGCGTCTGATGAGCAGTCTATTGTTAGCGGATGATTTTAACTCGACACACTGCAAAATGATGCCTGCTGTTTCGAAGATGAAATAGTTTCGAAGGCTTTCTGCCCTTGCATAGTTTATGATGATTCCTCTGTTCGATGAGAAATTGCCTGGAGATTGCTAATACACCAAATAAGCAGGCTATATGAGAGGAGTGTGAACTCTCTCTCTCTCTCTCTCTCTTGAAACAAGAAAGAGAACCACGCATATTTAGAAGATTTATTTACAATTTAGTCCATATGAATTAATTACTTAATCCTAATAATATGAAAAATAATTGAACAATCCTTTGATCATTCCCAAAATGCTTTCTTGCTTTGTCAAATTTCTACTTTTTGCACGCCTTTTTTCTTCTTCTTCACTTAGTTTTTAAATATATATGTTCTCAAAATAACAAATAATTGATAAAGGAAATAAATTATAAACAAATTTAAAATAATGATTATTGAATATATAATTTTAATATAGCTTTTCAAAAACGAGCAAAGACATATTAAATATTTTTGTTAAACTATATAAGTAATTTATAAATACAGAAAGTCGAAAAGAGACACTGTTCAAGCATGGGATATTGATATTAGTATATTCTATGTAACAGTTAATGGATAAGTTACATTTCATTGGGGTGTGTTTGGCTTTGTCATACATTTAAAACAACATGGTTGTTGTTTTTTTTTTAAATAAAAGATTAATATGTTAAGGTCAATTGGCTCAACTGTTTTTATAAATTCTAAAATTAATAATTATGTAAATCTTTAATGATTTTTAAATTTATAAAATTTGAATTAATAATTTTTAAAAAATAAACTTAAAATCTCATAAATTAATTTACACCTCTCAAAGCTAACACATGTTTTTCTTTAATCCCAAAGTAGTGTATGATTAATACTTGTGTTGATTTGAAATCAAAATATGTCATTTTAAAAAATTTATATTGCTGATGAAATAAAGTAAAGTATCCCTTACCCTTGCTTTGGTTGCTTATTATGGTGTCTATTTTTTAATTAATGCGTTACTGCTTTTCATGCTAGTGTTTTACATTATTTTATTTCAAATAATTTCAATATATAGGTTATTTTGATTGACAAGTTTGTTAAGTTATCATTTTTTTAATTAAATTTAACTTTTTTATAGTCTATTTTTTTTATATAGATAAAAAATAATTTTTGAGAAAAGTCATATTATTAAACTTTATAAAGTAATAAAAATTAAAGGGCTTAAGGAAATTATTATTCATTCATACACATTGCACTATAAATGACAATAATAATCTATAATGTTTTGCTTTTTTTTATATATAAATTTTTGTTATGATTTTTTTTTTAATTTTTTTGTTAATTTTATACTTTAATATTGGAATGATTGATAATTTGGATTCATAATTCATTTATTTTTATTTTATCTTTTTATTAGACAACCATGATTTGTAAGTTTGCTAAAGTATCCCAGGTTGCCCTAGTATACAAGGTTGATGGGGTGTTTTTTTTTTGCTTTTTTTTTCATTGAACTTGATTTTCTTATTATTTTTATTTTCATATAGTTAAAAAAAATATTTTTAGAAAAAAATTATGTTATCAAACTTTATAAAGTCCATGAACTTATTCACAGGTTTGTCTAGTTGACTTGGTTTACTGGGTATGGCAAGTTTAACTTTTTTTAATTACTTTTTTTATTTCATCTTTTGATACTAGGTTGATTTAGAATTCAATTTCATAATTGGTTTTTCTTCATCTTTTATGAGGTTATCGTGATCTAAAAAAACATCTTGGTATTGGGTTGGTGTTTAATTTTGCAATAATCTATTTTTGTTATCATATAGTTAAATAAACAATATTTTTGAAAAAAGATTTATAATACTAGTGAAGTTCATAACTCAGTTTATAGGTTTAGAGTACTAGCTTAGCTTACCTGATTCACAGAATTGATAAGTTTGCTCACTAATAGGATATGCTTTTTCTTTTCTTTTTTGATTTCATCATTTAATATTGTATTGGTTAAAAAATAAACTGCATTATTAATTTTTATTTGCTTTTTATTGAGATAATTGTCTCAAATAAGTGTCTATTTTTATGTTAATGCTTAATTTTATGAGCATATATTTTTATCATATAATTAAAAAATGTTTATAAAAAAAGTTATTAAACCTAATAAAGTCTATGACCCAAGTCATAGGGGACTGGGGTCAATCTAATTTTTTATTATCTTGATATTTTAAAAAAAATATTATCTTAAAGTTTTTTTAAAAATAAGTTATGTTTTTATCGATTATCAAAATTACATTTGGACCTATGAAATCAATCAATTTAAATCGAGATAACTCCCACATGACTTATTTGAAAACTTGAGTTAGATAAAAATTGAGTTGATAGGTTTCAAAATTACTCCACTTGGTTAGTTAAAAAATTCTCTGTACTCTTAATATTTTTTTAAAAAAATTAGTTCAATTCACAGTGGAAAAAGGGCTAATATACTAGTAGGTACTAAATCTCTTCATATTTTTTTTTTTTGACAATGTTGTATATGATTTACATCTAATTGTGATAACTTCATTACTTTTCGCTAATGTAGTATTATTTAGCAACATTATATATATTAGTGGCAAACATGTATATTTCTTTATATAAATCACCATGCAAAATTATATCTTTTACATCATACTTTTACAACAATTAATCAAAATTTGTCATAAGTAATAATAAAACTATAATAGTGTGAATTTTAGCTATAAGTATTAATTAGTATTTAAAAGTGCATTTTTATCAAGATTTTATATCATCATTTTGCATTTGAAGTATCAATAACTCCTTAACTAAAGCATGTTTTACAAGAACATATATAATAATATAAAATACCTTTAATTTGTGTTAAACGTTCATCTTAAATTCAAGTCTATCACATAAATAAAATGATTGATTGATGAGTTTAAGTACTGATATTGAAAGGAGAAAGAGATGGCCAAACATAGAAAAGAGATGCTGGTGTAGTCCAAACTGGAATATTGTTCGATAATTAGATCATATATGGAGCTATAGATCTCGAATTTAAGTCTAATTTATATGGATGGAAAGGTAAGACATAGGACTACAACTTTCATTGGAGTCTAAGATTTAAAAGGGCTATTTTCAAGTCCAAATTATAACAACAATGAAGAAGTTCGAATCTACCCTGCAACCCAGACACTGTTCAGTATTCAGCCCATATCTTGAGTTCTAAAAATCCAAATGACCTCAATTTGTTTTTTGTTTAGAAAACTGAGATAATTTTCTAGAACTTTTATGTGGAAGTTTGGTTGAAATTCTAACGTTAACAATGACATTTTATTCAAACAAGAAGATAAGGATTGTCACCAAGTCAAGATGTAGCCACCCACTCATCAATTAGTCATCAAATCAATAGTTTCTAATTTTGGCCTATAAAAGGAGGCATTTATCATGCATTTAGGCATCTTGGTTTCCAGATCAAGATCATGCTCTTGCTTTCTCTCTTTGTATTTTTGTAATGCTTAAGTTTTACTTTCATTAATATCTTGTTTATGCCTTTCATTTCCTTTCCTTTACTTAGTTAACTTTTATCTTATTTATGTTCTTGTCTTGTTTATTTATATTTCTCTCTTTCATTATGTTTAGCTAAGTTTATTATATCAAGGTGAAAAGGTTACACTAATGGTGTAAGAATATGTATAATGTAAACTCAACATGAACTCTAATGTTTAATACTAACATATTTTCTATTTGTTATCTTGTTCACTCTTAATACTTTACTTGTTAAATGGTTAATCTAGATTTATGTTGTATAACACTTTGTATAACAAATACTTGGCACTTTCATAACTTAGTCGTATGGTATATAACCGATACTTATGCTATGAAAGAAACTTGATTTGTTGTTACCATAAGTTATAATCATGAATAACTGACAATCTTTACAAATATTAGCAGTATTCAAATAAGATAACTAATGTAATCATGTTAACAATTTATAAGCTGATTGAAATCTTCTTTTTGTGTGGTTTCCAATTGAGTAATAAAAAGAGTTTATACTATACTTGTTTGAAATATCATTAGTGGATCTTCTAATATTGACATTTGTTTTTATCATTCTTTGATCCTTATATTGATCTTTCATCTCAAAGTTTTCATAAACTTCTTCTTCTTCTTCTTCTTTATTATTATAATTATTATTATTTGTATTATTACTATTATTATTATTGTTGTTGTTGTTTATACAATTAACCTCTTTGTGGTTCGACCTCAACTTGCTCAAAACATGATAGATTTTAAAGATACTCTTGCAAAATTGACATCTGCTCTCAGTTTCTAAGAGAAGGGTAAACTTCCATCTCAACCATAACAAAATCTCAAGGGGTAATGTAATACAAATTAAAGTTGTTCTAGAAACCAACATATGGATCAAGTCAAATCCGTTACTATTCTTCGTAGTGGTAAGGATATTAAAAAACTCACTCTTGAACTTTGTGAGAAAGATGATGAGTCAATCTCTTAGGGTAAGGAAGGGGTTGAATCTAAAAATTACAAAGAAAAGACTAATTCTCCGTCGGAGAACATAAAATTAAAAGATCCTTACTTAATCTTGAAGCTAATGTGAATTTTCTTTCATATTCAATTTTTCAAAGTCTCAATCTAGATGAGTTAAAACCAACTTTTATAACTCTTTTACTTGCCAATAGATCTATAAAAATGCTTAGAGAAATAGTTGAAGATGTGTTAGTACAAGTCAATAAATTCATTTATCCTGTGGATTTTATTATCTTGGACACACAACTTGTTGAAACATGTAATTCATTTCCTGTTATTTTAGGATGTCCATTTCTTACAACTTCTAATGCATTAATTAATTATAGGAATAGACTGATGAAGTTATCATTTGGAAACATGACATTGGAGATGAATATTTTCAATATATTGTAAGCAACTTAAAGATGATAATGATTTACAACAAATATATCATATTGAAGAATTAGTTTATGATTAACTTGAGTCTACTTTGAGTAAAATTGAGTTAGATGAATCTAAAGATTTGCAAATGATTTATTCCCAGGAAGAAATCACGGATGAAAGAGGCACTGAAAATGTTGATGCGGATCTTTTATCAAGAGTTAAAACAGATTTGATATCCGACATTACACCAATCGATAATTACTTTCCTAACAAATCCTTACTTTCTCTTAGTTCAATGTCTTGGTTTGCTAAAAATATCAATATTTTTGCTT